CTCCTTGGGGTGATTGCTGGGATATTGGTGTGGTCACTCATATGCTGATATAGGGTGTCTTCTTTATTGGCTCATGGAGTTCGCAGGTGGCTGTCCTCTCCCGCCAGTCAGTGATTGCCCCAGGGAAGTTTCCAATGGCCTCTATCAGCTGCCTGTCCATCCTCTGCCAAGTAAATCTTTCTTAAATAATTTCCCTGTGCCTTTCCTCTAATTCTGCTCTGTGTTTGGTACACTCTGATTCAGTGAGCTGTTCAGAGCACCAAAATCCCTAATTCAAACTGCTGTACCTAGTTTTTCAAGCCCTAAGATGCTAGAGGGAAATAACGTGGTGATTATTGATGAGACTACATTTTGAATCCCAAGGCTATAATCTTTTTTTAAAATTTTTTATTGTGATTTGGGTGAAAGTTTACAGAGCAAATTCACTTTCCATACAGTAGCTCACATACACTTTGTCTCATGACATTGACTACAATTTCCCACAATGCAACAGTTCCCCTCCCACTACTCCCCATAGTTATCTCTTCCCTGTGTCCTTTCCTCCCATGCACTCCCCTGAGCTGTCTCCCTGTGCATACACAGCCCTTCTATTCTCCCATGATTGATCTCTCCAAGGAATGTATCTGTCTAATGTAAATGTTTAGCTCATATGCCTGTCTTTTGTTTGGCTGGAAGCCATGGGAGTGGGTTCAGTTCCAGACCTGAAGGACAACTAGGGGCCATAGTCTCAGTGGTTCCATCAGGCTCTATCAGACCAGCGAAAATGGTCTTCTTTTTTTTTTTTTTTTTCAAAATGATTTTGAGTTTTGTTCCACATTGTTTTCCCACTCTATCCAGGATCTCCTACAGAGAAGGGCTATAATCTTTATAGAAGCAAACTGCCACATCTTTCTTACATGGAGCAGCTGGTAAGTTTGAAACACCAACATTTCCATTAGCAGCTGAGTGCTTAACCACTGTGCAACCAGGGCTCCTTACAGATGAAGGAACTGAGGCTTAAAGGAGTGACATGACTTCCCCAAGGTCGAAGAGTGATAACATGGAGAGTTTTAATTCAAGTCCATCTCTGTATCTTCAAGGAGCCTTTCATCAATATCAAATTGTCTTGATTACAGTAGTTTTATAATTTGTTTGTTTTCTTATTTCAAAACCTGAGGACATCTTGTAACTGAGGTACAAGGAGACTGTAAAGATTTATAGCCTTGGAAATCCTATGGAGCAGTTCTACCCTGTCCTATAGGGTCACTATGAGTTGAAATAGACTTAATGGCAGTGGGTTTTGAATTTGGATATCTTCAAAGCCTGTGCTCTTAACAACTCCACAAGGATATACTACACCCATGAATAAGATGAATACACTTTTTAGTTTTATGCTAAGGTGTAACATTACTGTATGTTCTGTATCATGTGCCATATGGTTATTAAACAGCTTAGTACTGAACTCCCCAAGTTATGAGACAAAAGGAGAAAATAGAAAGTTTGTATACTACCAAATTTAGCAGGCAATACAGTTTTCTCCACTCACCTGTGACCCTTAATTAATTTAAGGGGCAAAGGATTTGGCCAAAACAGGAAGAATCCACACCTGCTGGTTTTGGTCAGATTAGAGCAGCTGAGCAGAGAATGCTGGAGCCTGTCAGAGCATTCCTGGGGAACTTTGCATTTAATTTGCATCCAGGCATCATTGGGAGTCTGCACCTGTTACCTCTCCAGGAAACACAACAAAATCTTTTGCATTAGCTCCCAACATAGCTTCCTCTGTAAGCTAATTTTGTATTTATTTATTTAACAACAGAAGCTTAAGGGTTTTATTTTTTTTTTTTTTT